GCTGATGCAATATATCGGTAAGTGGCTAATATCATTGCCCCCGATGTATCTATCAGAGCCCGAGTGTTTGCACCATATTCTTAAAGGCCCATAGTATGCAAGCACTATATGAATACAGGTCTATTTAACGTTCACAAGTTTGGCAGTATTGGGCTGTGCTTATTTTGTGTGAGCCGATGAACAGAAAAAAATGAGCCAAGAAAACAACTTTTGAAAACAGAAAGCAGACTCTTGTAAGCTGTGAAGTCATCAGACTGTCACCAGAATTACACTCACTTGGGCACCTATGGGAGAATGTGGGCTAGTTAGAGAGGACTCTGAAAACACCAAATGAGGGAATATGTTTTGGAGGAATGCTGTTCATCCCTCTAGTAGAGTTTTAGAAATTTGGAAAATCACTGAATTTCCAGTGCACAAAAGGCCAACACCTTGACACGACATTGGGTTTTTCCTTTAATTTGTTACCCATCTTTCTAATATGTGTGTGTGCGTAGACACACAGACTATACTTAAATACAGTATATCTATCCAAATCCATTTCTTTGTACACTATATAGACATATTAGCTTCAAATGAGAGAAACTATCAGTATGAGTCTTATCATGTTGGTGAAAGACGAGTGAAACATTAGCCAAAGTATTAAGTTTTAAAATTTTGTGTATTTTCTGAGTGTATGATAATCATGGATGAAACTGTGTGTTTGAGATATGCTAATCAAAGACGCATCAGATGTGTTAAAAACTATTTCAAGCAAATGCATCATTTTTATATTCTTTTTCAGGTATATCTGTGTTTGTGCTCGATATGCCATGTGTTCAAAACACACACTGTCACTTTTAAGCTGTATTTTCATTTTGAATGACACTTCATTTGTTTATGGTGCTTTGAGTCCTTGTTGAAATATTTCACTAGTCACTAAGACTGACTGACAGGCCAGAGGAGGTTAGTTCTTTTGAAATCACCATAAGAAGAAATCTCCTTTTAATAATTAAAAAAACAACTAAATATTTGATTGAGGTAAAATTGAGGATATTTAAGGTTAGTACAGCCATTGTAGAAGTATTTTTAAAAACTGAAGGCATGGAAGCGTCTAATAAGCCATAATTTAACTGTCTAAGTCAGATACACTCCTTGGTCTTCGCATCTGAGTTCAAAACACCCAAGACAATAATGGCGAAGAAGTCCAGATGTGGGTGACGTCACAGCGATGCCATCCGTCTTTACTAAACTCCTCGTGGTTCATATTGTCAAAGCTCCAGAACCCCAAAATAATTTCCAGATCAGTTTTGTAGTGAATACAAAATCATCCACCGGTCAAAAGTGAGTAAGGGCTCTGGGGCTTTTGGTTTAAACGCCGTCCTAGTCATGCACTCCCAAAATGTTCTGCACACTAAGCACCGTGCTCGGAGCGTTTCAACTACACTAACAGAAATGTCATAGTGATCCAAGCTTTGTACGTACGTCCTGTTCCACCAGAGTCAAGGAGGAGACATGGCTCCTCAGCTGCTTAATGTTCCGCTGATGAACATTAAGATAATTGAAAGATATACGGTCACAAGTATGTCTGCCTTTTAGTGTCAGGATGGAAGGATCCAGGATTTTAACTGAAGATTTTGACAAAAATTTTGACTTGCAATGGCTGAAAATAAGCTCAAGTTTGTAGGCGAGAAAAGCATAACAATGAGTTAAAACACCCTAAAAAAAAATGACTGCAGTCTCCAGTATGAGCAACACGTACACAGACAGACACTTACTAACCTTTAAAACAAAATAAAAAAGTGAGTGCAGCTCATCATTCAACACTATCAGTCCAGCTCTTACATTTGCTTACCTTTTACAGCTGACACTAAAACCTTCTCAACAGCTAAAACATTAATAATACTACAGTGCAGTGTAACACTTGATAGAAACCTAAATGCTTATGAAGGTGCAGCACACCTCAGCTTCACGTTTAAGTGCCTCATTTTTCTCAGCGCACTAACGGAGGATCAGTGCACGAAGAAGACTTCTACAATGGCTGTACATTTTTAACCGTACTAATGCAGGCGAGTTAATAACATGACATTCTGTTACACTAAAGCGGCTTCATTCAAACTGGTTCATCGTCACCAGGTGCTTTACAGGCTAAGCTACTAGTTCAGAGTTTAAAAACTCAACATATATACCTCGCTCCCTCCCATTCAGCTATAAGCTACTCCCCGCAGGTTTGTTCACAGCTGCTTCAATGTGAATCAGAGCTTCAAACTAACTGTCGAGCTGATTTGTGTCAGTCCCGTCTGGATCAAACTGTGACAAGGCCGTAAAGATGATTCACGCTGGCTGCCAACAGAAGCGTCAGCGGCTTTTCAAAAGGGAAATTTCTCCTCAAACTAGAGCCAGTAAATATCACGTTTAAAGGGAATTTACTCATATATGAGCTCCAACGTCCACCAGGGTCCATAAAATACGAAATAGTCTCTCTGTCATTCTGGTGGATTTCAGTGTTTCGGGCTAAATGTCTGAGAAACTTTGTTGCATGGTGGAGGATTTCTTTAATTGTGCGGCAGCAGAGCTGTCCTGGGTGTCTTTGCTTTAAGCATTTGAGACATTATTAGTCAGTTATGTAGCTTTCTGTCATTTAATGATTTACACCAAAATTTACAAACCCATCAAAGGGTTTTTTATTTAGTTTTTTCTTTTTAATCTGCTAAGCAGAAGCCTTTCTGAAATGAATCTATGGATTCATTTAGGCCATTGTGCTATTTTGAGATTATTCTTTTTTGCCTTCATGGTCTTCTCATGACATTGCATTTTGGAGGTCTGAAGCAGCCAGTTAGTGTGAGTTTGTGTCATTTTAACTATTTTGTACATAAGAAAAAGGGAAAAAAAAAACTGCAAATGAAAAATAAAGGCAAGGTCACCGTCTTAGTTTGATTACCCATCGCGGTCTAATAAAACGATTGGATAGATAAATCTGAGGTGGATCTAACGGTGTCGATAATTTGTTAAGCACCACTAGAAGACCTTACAAAAGTGAGAGTAAACACAGATTTAAATGTTAAGAAATAAGCTAATCCTCCTTACATAAAGAACCCATATTTGCTTCTAATAACAGAAACCGCAGTCTTTTCTGGTGTTTACTGTGCTTTTGTTTGTCTGTTTTGATCTAAATGGACTCTTTTCGTGCCAGAAACTGCCTAATACAGTTAAAGTTCTCATGAAATAAAAAGCAGTAGGACAGAAACAGAAAAGCCTTTGCTCGTGCTGCTCTGTCAGGCCATTCATGCTGCGTGTTTCCATCTGCCTTCAGTCCTCTGTTGCCTTGTTGAACTGTTTTTCTTTTTTTGTTTGTTTTTTTTGAACATCTACCTGTGCATATGTTTGGCACTGACTACACCTTGACTCGTCTGTGCCATATCCCGCCATCACTTTGGCCGGTGGTCCACATAGTACAGCAAATACTTTATTCAACAGGAAAGTTTGGATGTGAGATGCTTCCTTTAACAAAATCAGGGTGCATGTTAAGGTAGTGAGCTCATTTGAGACTGATGCCTCTCATGTGAGGCGCTTTCATTCCTCCTTCATTGCTCAGTGTTGTGATATGCAGTTTCACGTTTAAAGAGTTTTAAAAAAAAAAAGCTGTTTTTTGGGTTTTTTTTAAATTAAGGTGAAAAACACATCTATCATTCATGTGGTCAACGTGAAATGGAGACGCTCCGGTGTTGATGTTCTCATGTAATCAGCCAGGAGGAAAACAAGCAGTGGTTGCCATTTCACTGTGGCAATAAGCTCTTCAATAAATCTCTGTAAAATGAAAAATATCAAACCTCAGCAGGATCTTTGTTGTATCAGTTTAAATTGATTTTTCTTTGTTTATTTGCTTCTTTTCTATTTCAGGATTTAGTGCCTTTTTTGGACAGTAGACTGTTCTGTAATCGCTATGTAGAAACTCTACATAGGCCTTTTGTTACTTTTTCATCTGTTGGATAAACCTTATGTTATATTTAAGGTGTGTTTTTATTGATATTCTATTTACAAGGGAATAAAAACTGATCAGACTCCATCAGTGTGCTGCTGTGCTTTCTTTACCTGCACATCTCACTACAGAATATTTAAGGCATTTGAGACTTTGGATGAAATCTCCGGTAACTAGTGAGCAAACTAAGATATAAATGCGTTCT